AGAACAAAACGGCTCCAGAAGCAGGTAACCTGGAGCAGTTACCCAAGCAGAAGGCAAGAACACAGAAAACAGGAGCTACAGGCAGCCCAATTTTGGGTTCAGTGCATGGAAAGTGCCGCATCCCACATCGAGAGGCGGGTGAAGTTTTTGGGTATTTCTGTGAAAAGCCTGTCCAAGGCTTTCAGCGCTGCTGGAGCTGTCTCTGCAGCTCAGGATGAAGAGGCAGCAGCAAGCTGTCTGCTTGGCAGCAAGCGGAATGGGCTGAGGAATGGCCTCCCCAGACTGCCAGGGGAAACCCTCGTCGCAAAGGAACAAACCCCCATCTCGCCTGTTCCCAGAGCCTCAGCCAAGGAAATCTGTCACTGGCTTTGGAGGAATTCCTTCTCTGGCTGCCTGTGAGGAGACCACGCAGTCACTGCCACTGCAGACGAGCACTTGCCTCCTCTAGCACTGCTGACTGACAAATCCTCCCTGATGGCTTTTCTATTTAGAGCCACAGCTGCTGTGCTCAGCTGTGCAGCCTGGAACACGGCTTTTAAGAGATCACAAAACTCTAAGTGTGATTTAAAGCAGCACAGGTTTGGGACAGCCATCCTGACACAACCAGAGCTTTTCTCTGATCTGATGCATGAGTTTTTGAGCTGATACACAGTTTTTAAACACAGGATGAAGGAATTTGGAAGGAGCAGGGGGGAGGAAGTCACAGAATTAAAAGTGAGCATGTTCCTGCTCCACCACAGGAAGACATTTCAGTAGCTTGTGGAAGAATCTGACGATAATTTAGCCCTAAAGCAGAGGCCAGCAGGAGGGAAGAGTACATCTGTGCCCTGAGGAAACATCTAACCCACTTCAGGAACACGTCAGCTTATCTACACCTTCAGAGAACAAAGATCTCACAGTTGATCTTGAAGGCATTTTTCTACTGGACTGAAAGGCACAGGACAGGCACCTACAAAAGCAGTCCCAGCTTTGGAGGAAGAGGATTTACCTCGGTGACATTCATCCCTTCCATGCGCTCCATCTTCTCCGTTTCCCCGATCAGGACTCTGAGTGCTGCATCAGCTGCTTCCTGCTTGCCCTGCTTTTTACTGTGTGCAGTTACAGCCGGGAACCAACGGCCGCCAACCTTCGCCTGATAGACAAACCTATAAAGACAGCAGAGCATCCCTGAGAGACCAAGAAACCCACGGAGTTTGGTCTGGGTTTTAAATTCTGAGAGGAGAGAGGAAAGAGGAGAGAGGAGAGAGGAGAGAGAGGAGAGAGAAGAGAGGGGAGAGGGA